TTAGAGTCCCCACTTAAACTCTAAAAAGAAATCTAACTCTGGAAAAACCTTCCACTTGAAAATGTTACCGAGAACGGATTATAGGTTTCTTCATAAATAACACTAAGTTTAAATAAATAACTATCTTTATTAACATTTAGGAAACTTGTAAATTTAACTAAAACATTCTAACATACATAAAACTTAACCATTGTAACATTGAAGCAGCATAGAAAAAAACTGCGAAAAGGTAATCGGCGAGAACATGCCGGACTGCTAGCTAGAACCGACGGGGAGAGAGAGCAAGCTGTGGGGAGGCGGCCAAGTTATATCCAAAACATACTGTGCGCGTTTTGCTGATTTCGCCCTTCACGCATATCTCCATCAAGTATGAGGTTTACGTCAATTATCGGCTGCAAGCGACGTAGTCCAACGTCAGAGATTCGTAGCTCGGACTTTGCATTTCAGACCGCAACGCCACAGGCTATTGTTACAATTTGGCTATCTCAAATTGCTTATATCAGAAACACAATGAAATTTGCAGGATTACGATCAAACATACAATTTAATGCCCATTGCGGATGACGTCACTCTACTACGGCACCACTAATTTACATATTGTAGTCTCACTTAGTAACATTTTTTAATAACTTATGTATTCAAATTTCATAGGAATTCACTTATTCTTTGGAAAATAAGTTTTATAGTTATTCGTAAAAAGATTTTGATTCTTATTCGGGGAAATGCGCTAAATGCAAAATTAACATTACGGGATCGAACTTTCTACCGGTCTCTGTACTAAACTATTGCAAGCGTAAATAATTTACATTAAAATATTACTTTTCAATCTTTTGCACGTCATGTATGTATCACATTAAATTTAAAAAATTGAAATGAAAGAAATAAAATTAATAATGTATTTTAAAATGCGTACTTTTTTATCATTAGCGTAATAAAAGAGTCCTTTTCAAAACTTAAAGTACAAAAAACGTGAAAAGGAGCAAAATGCTTCTTTATTGCTACGCACAGTTTTATTTATTTATTTATTTTTTTTTTTTTGCATTTTACTTTAATGCGAATCTTTATGCGAACTCTAGAATTTTAATACAAAAAGTCGTTTCTCTTTTTCTGTTTACTTAAATTATTTGAAATCTGACAATTCGCTATTTTTCCCCTTCAATTTAAAAAAAAATGAACGACTAATGTTATTTTGACAGACTCTCTAAAAAGTGTTAATACTATCAAACATCTCGTGGAATGAGCTTCAGAATAACATTCTGAAATTAAGCGAGAGAAATATTTTCCAATTCACCTCAGCAGGCGGGGTCGATTTTCGTATCATTAGATGCCACGATTTTAGTGTCACATTAAACACTAGTATTTATGTTTTTTCTCGATTTTACTTACAGTTTTCCAGATATCTCTTTTCCAAACAATTAGCACTCCATATTCTTTTTTTGAGATCAAGAACTAAATTACAAATGCCTGTTTGTCACATGGAGATATTGTTTTCTGAAGAATCCAAATCTGCAAAGGATTTATACTTTTAAAATTTTGAAATTGCCTCCACCCCCACTGGATGCGGTCAAGGAGTTGAGTTTGGTATTATTAAATGTATTCGTTAAACGCCTATCTTAAGATTTTTGATCAGATGCTAACTTCGCGAAATCATTTTATTCTTTTTGGATACCCTGTACAAAGCAATATGAATATAATTACTTACAATGTAAACATCAATTATGTATTGCTTTCCAGGTGTTAAAAAGTATCCTTTGTGGAAGGGATTTACTGCATCGTATGGCGAATGAACAGCAATAAAAATACCTGGTGGAACATTAGGTTCAAATACGTCGTCAACTTTCGGGTTAAAAATAAATCTGTCAAATGTCCAGTCTAAAATTTTAAAAAAGAGAATTAGTATTTTACACATTTTACAAAACTCAATAATTAATTCTAAAATAATATTTAAAAACAAATGATTTTCTGAAGTTATTTCACAGCATTCATTATTGTGTCCTGGTTAGCCCATCGTGGCAATGATGACAACTGAGGCTGATTTTTGGGAATCTTTTTATACTTCAAAAAATTCGAATGGTTTTTTAATGATATCTCTAGTGTCCCAACCTTCCCCAATGTTTAGAAATCTATTCGATTTAATTTTTGCCCCATCACAACTGTTTCTGATCTCCTTTTTTTTATTAGCTTGTTCACTTCCTAATGGTTACGCCACTTTAAATGTGTTTAATCTCTTTACTTTATTCTACTGTCGTTTAAGGTTCAGACTCTGAAGAAGATTTATAGAACTGAAGGTTTATATAAAATGATTCTACGTTCATATGACAAGTTTGGATAGGTGGTTGAGCGTACTAAATTATGTATTTTTTGTATATGAATGTAAGGTCTAAAGTGATGTGTTAAGGTTTAAACTCACAAAACTACACGGGGAGAAAAATGTGATAATTCAGTAAATCAATGCAAAGTGATTCTTTGCATTAATACAGTATTCACAATAAATGTTCCAAATTATGATCACTAACATCGCTTGCTTACATTATAATTGCGACTAACTAAAACAAAGAGAAAAATCTAAAAAAAGAAAAAAAAAAGGGAGCGAGCTGTTAAAGACTGTTCGATTGTAAATTAGCATCCAGGTTCTTCGCCAACTCGAAGTATTTAAACAGCAGCGAATAATAGATGTTAGTGGTAAGCAATCTATAACGATAACCTTCTTATATGGTATAACATTTCAAATTAGAGAAAGAATTTATCTCTTCTAAAACTTTTATATTTTACTATTAATTTTGATTTAAATGCTATGATTTACATGTCAACATCCCTTTCTTGTATTTCTTTATCTTATTTATTGACTTTAGTTGTCTTTGATATAAGTCAAACACGAGCTTATAAAATGAATATCTCGAGTGAGAAATTTTTTTTCTGCAGCAATGGATAAATAATCGTTTTTTAAGCAAAGAAAGTAAAACAAATTATCAAATAAGCACTTCAAGTTGAAATGACTTTTAAGCAAATTTAAATTTTAAAAACGTTAAAATAGTCCTTTCAATGCTTCAAATTTCAACACTTAGTTGCACTTGAGCCGGCCAATATGTCTTTTTCTTGCAGTAAGTTTAAAATATGATAATTTTGAAAACAGTAATGGCCTAATGGCTAACGACAGTCTTCAACACATCTTCGTAATTTCTGGTTTTTGTAGATTCTGCGCAGCTTAAGAAAAAGTAACGTGCAGCACTTATTTACTTGTTTTAGATACTTACAATCGTCTAAATTCAAATGTGGCCCATTATCGCATATTTTAACATCTAGATTTTCTTTGCACAAGTTAAACGGTACCATATGTAGAAATTAAATCACGGAAAGAAAGTAAGGAACAAAAATCGAAAATTTTTTTAATTTTTAAATTTACCAAGATGCACTTACATGGTTTCTCATTTCTAAGGGATTGACCTGTCCACGGTTTAAGATCACTTTCTACATTAGAGTTTATTGAAAAACAATAGGAATATTCATCGAAAAAGAAAACCTTTGCCTTGGAAGAGGAACTGATGATCTGGTTGGGAAAGAGCTGAAATAATTATTATTGTTAAGAATATTTAAAAAGGGAATGTTTTCAAAGGGACTAAATAAAAATGTAACCAGAAAAAATTGCATTTTTTTTGTTTTCCACAAAAATATTTGGTTTCCAAAACTTAGATATAAATGATAAATTAATGTGTTAATAAAAATCCACAATACTCTTTGTAAATAGAATAGACATAAAGATTAGATTTCCTCACTCTTACCACTTTTCCTTTCTTCTTTACCGTGGTTTCGTCAAATCCTCACGGCCTTACGTCTCAGTATGCCGTTGGAATTGACATCAGAGATTGTCGCAGAATATCATTGTATCTGGTTGTCAACAAAATAAGTAAGAAAACGAAGTTTCTAAAGCAATAAATTTATTTTAAAAAACATATTAAATTGGTAGGCAAACTGTCACAAACAGAGTGACTAACGAAAAGAATAAATACAAACAATAATGCTTCAACAGAAGCTTAAATACTCAGATAACTCAGATAAATGACAGATAACTGATAACGTCATGATCCACGCAAGAACGATCAACAGCAAATGAGAAGAAACTGGCCGATTCCAGCAGACCATGACGTTACCGAAGTAAGTTGAATGCATGAGATCGTCCATATGTTTTTGAAATAAATGTATGGCTTTAGAAACTTCGTTTTCTGATTTGTTTTGTTGACAAACAATGATATTCTGTGACAATCTCTGATGTCAATTTCAACGGGATGCTGAAACATATGACCATGAGGATTTGTCGAAACCACGGTAAAGAAGAAAGAAAAAGTGTTAAGAGTGAGGAAATCTAATTTTTATGTCTATTCTGTTTACGAAGAGTATAGTGGATTTTTATTAACGCATTATTTTATCACTAATATCTAAGATTTGGTAACCAAATATCTTTGTGGAACTCAAAAAAATGCAATAGATTTAATAGATATAGATAGATAGATATTGACTGGCCGTACCTTGTTAGTGAAACTGTATTATTAGAATATGACAGCACAGTAACTGCTCTAAAGAGATACAGGACGCTTAAAAGTTTGAGAACAGGTCAAGAACGCTTGCAGGAAATGATTTTTAAATTTGAGCTGACCGGTTGACTGAGCCGAAAATTCCTTAGAGGAAGGAAACCAGTTGCTGTGGAAAGCTTAGTAACTGCTTCAGAAGAAAGATGCATCAGTAATAGTGGGAAAGGCTGCAGTGCACGACACATTGCGTCAACTCTGGACATTGAGGTCAGTACGGTAGCTTTGAGAACTATTCTGCGATGCTCTCCGCACAAAATAACCCATATTCAAGAGTTTCTGGCTGCAAACCTTCCAAAACTAGAACATTGGAAGTGGATATTGCATGACAATATATCATTTTGCAGACAGATGAGGCCCACTTCTTTTTGTAGAACGAAGACAATGAATATAAAGACAATGATTGACCGAATATGTTGTTGTGTCACAACAACCAGAAATAAGACGTGAGTTGTACCAAACAATTTATTTAAACATTCACACGAAAAATCACAAAATATTACCCAAACGAAATATCTCTTCTCAGAAAAAAACTCTCTTTCTCAACAACAAAAAAAGAACATCACTTCTCGTGTGTGTCTGTCAAGCAACATCATTTTAGCATTACTTCTCGAGGAATTGATGCTTTTAGCTCAGTTGTCACACACTGTTACGTTACAGTCTAACTCCTCCCTTCCACAGAGTTTTCTTTGCAAAAGTAGGAAATGGCAAAAAAACATACATAAAATTTTGTCAAAACTGATCTATATAGGTTGACATAAAACTGTTTTGTTTATCGATATATAGGAAAATAAAACAGTAAAGGAAAATAAACAGTAAAATAAACAGAAAAATAAACAGTAAAATTGGAGTCACGAATCTTTTCAGTGAGTAAGTCATCGTTTTTCGCCGTTTGATCATAAGTAACGATGTGTTCATTGGAATCGACTACACCGAGCTGTACATTATCTTTATTTTCTACTTCCCTCCTTTCATTCATATTTTCTTGTTTTCGAGTCATTACAGCACTTATCATTGGGACTTCAAACGAATTTTCCAATAGAGCAGCCGTTTTGTTACCCAATAAATAATACCCTTGATCAAGAGAATCACCTAATACAGCTGCCTTAGTAACCACTTTTCCTAACTTACAGTTTAATTCAACTACGGCTAATGGAAAACAAAATGATTCTTCCTGTATTGGAGTTTTTATCCAAACAGATTCACCCGTGTACATTTCAGGTTTTACAAATCTCCTAGGAATTAAATCCAAGGTTGCGCCAGTGTCTCGTAGTATTGAAATGCCAACGCCATTTACCACGCCAATGCTCGTATATGGTGTCATTATATCAGGACACCTTGATTCCGAAACGTGAAGCGAAACCACAGTTTCAGAATTTGTTTTCGCCTTGGGACATTGAGGGCGTAAATGATCATAAGAACCACATTCATAGCATCTAAGCTGTCTTCTTCTTTCAAATTCTCTTTCGCGAACATTTTCTTTAACATTATTTTTCTGCCAAGTTTTCTGCCAAGGTTTGTTTTGGGGCTGAATTTGAGAATTTGCTTCTAATTCGAGTTTACGCAATTCCAATTGATGTTGCCGTTCAAGTTCTTTTCGCCGTTCTTGTCTTTCAAGTTCTTCTCGCCGTTTTTGTCTTTCAAGTTCTTCTCGCCGTTCTTGTCTTTCAAGTTCTTCTCGCCGTTCTTGTCTTTCAAGTTGTCTTTCAAGTTCTTCTCGCCGTTCTTGTTTTTCAAGTTCTTTTCGCCTAATTCTCTCCTCCGTTATACGAGTCAAACACATCTTTACATCCTCAACCTCATAATGTTTACTAGTTTGAATTATTTTTTTAATTTCAATAACATTTGCTTGAGGTGGAACAGATTCACCTAATTCATCGGCCAATTCTATCAAATCCACTTTTTTCGCTTTATTAAGAAAAGCCATAATTTACAACTGATAAAAAACTACATATACAATCACTGACTACCTTAAATCAACTACTTTTACTATATCCCGCCGCTGCCACCAGTAAAATTCTGTTGTGTCACAACAACCAGAAATAAGACGTGAGTTGTACCAAACAATTTATTTAAACATTCACACGAAAAATCACAAAATATTACCCAAACGAAATATCTCTTCTCAGAAAAAAACTCTCTTTCTCAACAACAAAAAAAGAACATCACTTCTCGTGTGTGTCTGTCAAGCAACATCATTTTAGCATTACTTGTCGAGGAGTTGATGCTTTTAGCTCAGTTGTCACACACTGTTACGTTACAATGTGCAACAGTAAATCCGAAAATTTCTCAATTTTTTCCTCCTTTTACATGAAGGCAACTGCGTGTTGTGGGTTTACGTCACAGTTTCTTATTTTATTTTATAACACTTCTTGCTCTGTTCAACTCCATAGCCTTACAATTTAAGACCCAGTCCAGAAGACAAGGGAACTCCTGGATCAAATATTGCGCGAAATTTGCCTTTGTGGAATACTTTGTGAGTAAAAACACGACAACTTCCCACTGTTAACCTGATGGCAAGGGGATTCTAACCCATGATACGTCTAGCACTAAGGATATTTTACTTCAGCTTTTTTGTCGGTGTGAGCTGGGTTATAAATTTGTATCGATCATCCTAGGCTGAGCATCAAACCCGGTTCACCTCATTGGAAGGCGAACGCACTATCACCTGAGCCACTACGGCTCTTATGTCAGAGTTTTTCATTTTTATTTTATAACGTCGTTGAACAGCCGACCCAATTTTTGGGCTTACGACTACTAATGTACAACTCCGAAGCCTTGTAATTTTGATCCCAGTGCAGAAGACAAGACAACTCCTGGATCAAGTATAGGGAGAAATTTGTCTTCGTGGAAAACTTTTTGAGGAAACTAATCCGTATTTACGTTACATGATATAGAAAACCACAAAAACCTCCCACTGTTATACTAACGGCAAGTGATCTAACCCATGATCCGTCTACCACTGAGGATATTTTACGTCAGCAATTAGGTCGGTGCAACGCGGTTGCGGAATTCGCATCGGTATCTATCTATCTATCTATCTATCTATCTATCTATCTATCTATATATATATCTATNAAATTGATATATATATATATCATTAGAAAGATAATCTATTAGTTAATTTGCCATATTTTTTAAAAATAAAATAAAAAATACGAAAAAATTATATTTTCGAATGCATAAACATCAATCATTTTTTATATAATTAAAAATGGCTTACTCGCTAAGTTCAAGATCGTAAAAATTGAATCCAAGATCGGAAAGTTGTTTTTGACTAACTTTCCTTATGAACTCTTCTTTCACCTTTATAAATATTTCACATAAATTAACATTTAAATTAACTATAGTCAAAATTATGTCAAATTTCATTCTTGCGTCTCAAACATAATAAAGAAAGACATCTTTTACTGTTAAGAATTTTTTTCGTTTATTTTCTAGCCTCTTTTCATAAATTCATCTTTCAAAATAACTGACAATAAAATGTATTTAATTTAACTTTCGTTCAGTTCTATAATTACTAATATAATAAATAAAAATTAGGGTACAAAATTTTAGAGAAATTTAAAAGCATTACACACTTTTAATGCAATATTTAATTTAATTTAGCAATTACGGGCCATATTTAGTGTCTCTGGCTATTGTCTAATTTGTTTGTCCCATTTTGTAATATTGAACATCAATCTTTCTCAATCTAGTTAACCATTTTTAAACAAGCCTATCTCGTAAGTTGACGAACGTTGTTCAATCTTAATAGAAATAAGAGAAAAAGGGCAATGGTAAAAGGATATTGACAAAAAAATAATCAAGATATACGTGGATCTTTAGGGAGTCATTAAATTATTTCTTTTTACAATTACTTCTGAATTTATTAGAGTTCTAAATTGTCCTTGAGCATCGGCATTTTTTGAAAAAAATAATGACTGACTAAAGGGGTTATTTTAAATTAAACAGCAAAATTTGAAGTGAAAAGTTCTCATGCAGATCATTACGTTATTAAATTGCTTCGAAAAGGTTCAATGGGAATATTATATAATATAAATGATAACATTTTTTTCAATGCCCATCTGGAGAATGACCTTGGCCATACAGGTATCTGAAAGGCAGATTTGTTGGCCACTGTTTCAGGGGCACCATATTAGGCGGATTAACATTGCTCCCGCAATAAGGGCAGATAGTACAGAGAAGGAAAGAACATCCATGCCTTGCCCGGGATTCGAACCCAGAACCTTTCTGATGCAAGGGCAGTTTCCTAACCCCTACACAGGCCAGTCGGCTAAGTGCTAACATACATACCACAATTCAAAAAGTTCCATTTTTTACTATAACTATTACGCTTCATAGAAAGCCTTTAATACTCTTCAATTTATACACGTTTTTTTTTTTTTTTTTTCAAATTTTATTACAGGTTTGAGCTTTCTAAGTTAACCATTATTATTCATAACTTATCAAAATTAAAGAAAAAATTATAACTATTAAAGAAAAAAAACTGAATCATTAAAGTTACGAATATGAAAATCCTGTTAAAACATAAATAATTACTTTTAGTGAAACGTGTAAGTACATACTTTGAAAGTATTTACATTACTGTTACATGCTTTGAAAGCATTTGGAAGCGCAGTTAGTAAAACTTTTTAATGAATAATAATAAATACTCAAAATTAAAGGAAACTCGTACCGTCATATTATTTTTTTCACAGTAGTTCTTATGTATTTCGCAAAATTATTCTGTTGTAGGAATACAGTGATCTTCATACTTTTCACAGTATTTTTTTCTGCTGACTCTGAAAAAAAGCAAATATAGGTTTTAAGTTAATTTATTTTAACGAGCAACCAAATCAATGATTATATTTGAATTAAACATTTACGTTCGAATTCATGATTATTCCAGTTTTTAGTTCAATTTATAGGCAGTTGTTATACAGCATATGAAAAAAACAACTGGAAACGATTGAATTATCGTAGGAAAACTCACCTTAAATAAATGTCACAATAAATTAAACTTTGAAAACGTTTTTCAAAAACCTATTTAATGAAGTCATAATCAGTTAATCCATATTTTTTGTGAGGGTCCAAAAGGTGGGTCTTTCTAAATTTTTGAACTATAAATTACTATTTTCCTGAAACGCCTCGAAGAAAAATATCCATAAAAATAAGCACTGCACAGGTTAATGTTTTAAAGCATTTTTTACAGCATGCTTTTGAATTGTTTGGAGCTTTTTTATTGTTGAATAAGCCATTTTTGTTTTGTTTGGTAAAGCAGTGGGAGGAATTTTCAAAGTATATGTTTTGAATTCCCTTGGTGCCCTTTTTCCATTTTATGTAAAATTATTCAAACTTCTTTTGTTTTGTAGAAAAGAAAAGTTCTGAGTTAAAATTGAAATCCTTATTTTTTGTGCAAAGAAATAAGATGAATTATACAAGCAGTTATGAACTGGAAGTGTGCTATTTTTTAAATGAGATAGAAATGATTTGTATGAACATGAAAGCTAACTTCATTTTTACAGCATTTGTCGCATATCAAGATTCCTCTTAACTAACGAGTTAAGTGATAAAAACAACATAAATGTCAAAATATATCCTTTATTAACATGTTACCAATGTATGATAATTGTCTTTTCTAATTTTTTTGTTTGTTTGTTTCGTAAACATAGCATGCAAAATAAAGCCCTATTAAAAGGATATTTTTATTTACAAATTGGCTGACATTAAGAAAAAAAGTCTACCATATTCTACGATAATGAAACGAGGATTCTTCAATTTTCTTGAATTACGAATTAGAGTGATAGGTTTAGCATTCAAAAAAAAATAAAGATACAGTTTTTTTCGTGCTTATTTTTTAAATCTAAAGGCTTGTTTTTTGTGTTTAAGTGTGCAAAATGTTTCTTTTAATAATTTGCCATGTCATTTAAATGGCAGATTTTTGAGCAAGGAGTTGCAATACTCAAACTTTTCAATTGTATTCAATTTTTTGAAATAATGAGTAATCTAACTTGATCAGGAAACTTGACCAGGGGTTACTTCTAAAATTATAAAAAGAATTTAAAAAATTTAAAAAAAAGGGAAATAATTTCAATATTTGTACTCTTTGCTTTTTCACACTTTGCTAATTGGTTAAAACTTAAATTGAATATTTAAAGTAAAATATCAATCTTTTTCACGATTATGTTATTGAAAATTGATCTCACACATAAATGCAGACGGTAGTTTAAGTTTCGAAATTAGACACAAAAGCGGACTTTCTCTGCATGAACATACCTTTTTATTACGGGTTTAGATTTTTGAACCCTAAAATATAGGGAGCAGCATAAGGAATGGAATTTTTTACATCATTTTTAAAAAAATTATTTTGTATTTCAAATAACATAATCTGGAAAAATAACATAATAACATAATCGGTCGAACAGTTCCTGAGAAATCAAATTTTAAAAAATAGAAACTTTTCTTAAAATTCGATTTTTTGGGAACTGTTACACCAATTTTGCTTACATTTCGTATTTTGCAGTGTAAAATTACATTCCTTAAGATCATGTAGAATATTTTATGCCTTACAATTCAAACTTTTTTCGATTATTATAAAATAAAGTAATAAATATTTACGAAAAGTTAGTTTTTGCATAAATTAACTTTAGATAATCGAATTTTATATCTGTGTGCAAACAATTTTTAATTCGCTTAAATAGTTTTCGAGATATTTCAAGTACGGATGAAATAAATTTATCCTGAAAGTATCCAAACTTTGGACTACTTTCCTGACCAATCTATCGGGACCATATTACTCAGATTGCGGCTACCTCTTTAATATTCTGGGTTAAAATTCC